AGTCTAATGAGTTTGGAACAGCTAGCTTTTCTTTTTTCTTAAAAATCTTTCACCAGATACTTATCCTGCAAGGTTCTTATATTCTTGGTATGGTCAATAAAAATTCCTTAGGAAAAGTGGTATCTTGTGCTAGTTCAGATTTTAAAGAATCAAGTTCATGTTCACAAGTTGACACCTTTCAGAGCAATTAGTGCCTAATTTTTTACCTGACTTTACCAATGGAACCAGCCTTGTCTTTTTTTGACATAAATGCAGGGTAAACACTGGTTTCTGCATACAGTAAATCATTTTCTATTTCACAAGCTTCACATTTTAGTCTCAAATCTGAATAATTTGGGTTAAGATAGCAAATAAGTTACTTTGAGTTCTCCAGTTAGAGAAATCTATTGAGATTGAGAGGTGCAGTGAAGATGGAAGTCGAGTTTAGTAGTATCTGGATCTTATTTACAGATTAAAAATATATCAGCTTTCTTCAGTAAGTCAAGACAAATTTCATAACATGCCTGAATTATATTGTCAGCCATTGTCCAATCTACAAGGTGGACTGATACTCATTTTCCAATATCACTGTCTTCAACTAATCTTTTCTTTTCCTGAAAAGCTTTCTGTGTTTTTTTCTACAGAGAAAAATACAACTGAAATTCTTAGGGAAACTACTATTGCTATAGAAAATAATCATTTGTGAATTCAGCAAATATTTAAGTAGTCAATCATAGTGGCTAAGAGCGTACACTCTGAACCTAGACTGCCAGGGTTAGAGAGCCAGATTCCTCTATGTGCTAACTGTGTGACCTTGGGAAAATTATTTAATCTACACATCTCAGTTTCATTATCTGTAAAATGGATATAATAGTAACACCCCTTTCACAGTCTTATGAGAAGATTAAATATATGAATACATATAAAGTGCTTAGAATTATGCCTGGCATATAATAAGAACTCAAATATTAAATATGATTATTAGGAATCTTTGGGAATTCAGTTCTGTTCATTTATTGAAAGGAAAACATTCTTTTTAAGCAACATAGAAGATAAAAAGGATCATTTTTCTAGGTGGCTCTAGTGTAAAACACTTTATAGATTGATACTTAAATCTTTATAAAAATTATGGCAAATATATTTCTGGGGGAAATACACTTATATGTATAAGCATGTGTGTTGATTTTAGTTGCCTGATAAAAGATTTCAGGCAGATGTTTTTTTCCAATCATTGAACCCTAATATTTTAAGGGGAAGTGACTAACCACAATATTTAATCAAACTCCTTGATCTTTCTCTACTGGCAAATTGTCAATCATGACTGATTTGGTGGTGTGAAGATCAAAGCTCACAATTATGAGCTGAGGAAGTAAAAATATTATTTCTAGACTAGGATAATCTAGGTTAATCGTCAATCCAATCATCTTTACAATCTCCAAGATGATTTAATTATAACCATTCATTGTTCTTTCTTTCCTAAACACAACAGTAACACTGAAAGGATGGGGTTGGGGAAGAAATAACTCTCTGATGAGAAAATCCCACTGCCTCTGGTTTGTATAATCTGACATGTCAAACCAGCTATACCATTTGTATTAAAAAGATGCAATTCTGTTAACAAATATTTAACTTTGTATGAATTTTACTTGAGAAATTATAATTAGTTCTTTGTGGCCTATTCTTATGGATTTGTCATGGTTAAATTCAACTAGTTTCATACGGTATTTTATATATATAAGTGTATATATATATAAAATTTTAAATACTGTTGGTAATATTAATGCAATAAGGAGTGAGATAATATATCAGCCCATATGAAGATTATAATGGATTTTTTATAAACATACAGTATATTTAAAATGTATATTTGATAATTCTTAATTGTTGGATGGAAAATACATTACATATGAAGAGTTTTTTTTTAAACTTCTCAGTCTTGCGTTTTTTTTCTTCATTTGAGGCAGTACATTTCAACTATAAACTATGTAACAGTCTGTCTTAGCCAAAAAAAAAAAAATCTCACCTTTCTGAGCTATAAAATATACAGAATTGAAAGCTGACACCTAATATATTTTTCATTAGATACAGATGTTCAATGTAAAACTCTTTCTTTAAGTATTCATGAAAAAGCGGTATAACTAAAAATCTTCAAATACAATGCATAAAAAGTGAAAATAATAGTAATTTTGGTAAATTTCTAATGGCTTTTTAATGAAAGCCATTTTTCTTTTTATGATTTACAAGTTCTTCTAAGTTTACTGCAATCATCTTGTCACTTAAATTTATGAATGGAAGCTTCAATGGAACTCAATGAAATAAAACACCTAAAGATCGCTTACAAATGTAGAAAATTGTATAAGTAATTTCTAAAGGAATCATTCAACAACTTAAAGTGTATTTTCTTTATCTTGAAATTTAAACACATTTCAATAACGTTATAATTTTAAAAACCCTTTTCAAATATTTATTTTTCATACCTGTTTGCAAAATAACTTTCTTATTATTGATAAAGAATACAGGACCATATGGTGATTACACAATGCAAATTCTGTTATCTGGCTTTTTGTATCTTGAGACTGCTACTTTCATTTCCGAATTGAGCAAAACTGCATACAATTTTGAAATAAAAGTAGTTCTGCATAGGCTACCTGGTGGGGTGGATACTTAGAGCTACTGATGTTTTTCTACCTGCAGAAGTCATCATACTAACTAGGGCTAAAATGTGAACTATCCAGTAGGGAAAAAAGAACATTAAAAAAAGTAATTGTTTTTCCTCTTTGTCGACCGTTTCCCCACAAAATAGGAAAAAAATCATTTTAAACAGATGTTTCTTGAAATCCAAATATATTAGATATTGTAAGTTTAACAAGAAGCAAATAGTTTATATGTTGTTCCAGTTGGATTATATTTAAGGTGTTCATTGAATTGAGCTACATGCATGTTTCTTAAGATAACAGATAAGCCTTTGAGAGTCTCAGTATAAAACTTTTAAATGCTTACTCAATTATTTCCCTTTTAACTTAAGTCCATTTTATAAAAATAATACCCAACGTTTTCTAAGTTTTCCAGTAGTTTATTTCTTCATTTCAATTTCTCATGCTCACCGAACACATGTACTAGATGCCTACTATATGAATAACATTATGCTTACCTCTATGCATAAGCATAACATTATGCTTTCTCTGTAGGAGAAGCATAAGCATTCAAGAGTTTTATAGCATTTTGAAGAAGACAACTCTATATAACACCTTTTATCAGCAATAGAAGAAAATGTTTGATAAATGCCAAAGTAAATGATATTATGAGTGTGACCATAGAGAAAAGAGATCAAGGTGCACTGGGAGAATCTCTTTCTGGAACTATGATTAAAGGAAAGGTAGAACTTGGCCAAGCAGAAAGAAGGTAGGACACTGAAGGCAGGGACCATGCCAGGAATAGAAGCATAGCAGTAGAAACAGGAAGGTCTGTGAGGGTACTTGTGAAGGCAGCCTAGAGACCACAGTGCAGGGTATAAGGATGTTAGATTAGAAAGGTGGGTTGGAGGCATATGGGGAAGAAAGGCTTTGAATATTTAGTTATAGGACATAGATTCCATAGTCTAGATAGAGGAAAATATTAGGGACTGTGCAAATAAAGGTATCTGAAGAATGCTCAGTGAAGATAGTGTTAAGCAACATTAATTTTTGCAGTGATTGTGGTATGTATTGGAGAAAGAAATCGAGGACACAAAGAATAGTCGTTGCTCTTGTTGCTAGAGGTTTGGACATTAGATAATGAAAATTTTTGTTAAGGTTATGGAATGTAAAATAGAAGGACACTTGAATCTACAGGACTTGTGACTAATAGGTCGTAGAAATTAAGGCAGGAAAATGAGACATTCTAAAACTTATCGAAATAGGAACATGGAAAAGGAGAGAGCATTGGGAAAGATAAGTTGTGAATGAGCATATAAGAAAGCAGTTAGTGGTTATATTTATAGGGCTAGAGGATAGATGAGTCAGGTATAACAGCTAAAAGGTACAGGGTTTCTTTTGAAGATGATTTAAAAAGTGGTAAAATTATGGTGGCGATTGCACAACTCTGAATATACTAGAAGTTATTGAATTACATACTTTAAATGGGTGAATTATAATGTATATAAATTATGTTTCAATAAAGCCATTACAAAATAAAAGAATATGTTTTAGGGGCCACATAAGAAGAAGTAAATAACATCAAACTGGGATCCGGTTAAACGTCAGGGATGAGTAATTGTGGATCATGTTTATAAGAGCAGTAGTTGAAATTGTGAGGATAGAGAAAAAAAGCAGAGATCTCAACCTAATAATTCCATAGTTCAAGGGAAAGGGAGAGGTAAAAAAGGGAACTTTTTTTTTTACAGAGAGTTTATCATCTGCATTACTTTTTCCTGTATTATTTTAATCAGGAAAACCAGTTCAATAGAATTTAGAGATGTGGTTTTATCAATTGGGTATGGTATTAAAGTTGCCAATGGTGGTTGATTATTTTATGCATATATACATGGCTCTATTTTAAATTAATGAAAAAAGATATAGTGTTCTTGAAATCAGACAAATACCAGAGTCAAAATACTTGTCCTGCTTTATGTCCTGCCTTCTGGGTCAAAGTTTGAATGGGCCACTGAGGATGAGAATTGGATCATGACTGGTAAAGCTGGTTCTTTGAGTTCCGTGAACTGGTTGGTTTTCATTTCCCTTAATTACTAGATGATGAAATCTTTCACCTAGGATATCATTTTGCCATCTTGTATATGAAATAAAACTTTATGCAGTCAGAACTATATTATGAAAATGTAAAATGTTGAGATTCATGCAACCAAAGGAACACATATAATTCCAGAGAAACAATTCTTCTTGGTAAGTTCCTATTCCAGATATGTAACTATGCTGGAATAGAAATTTGAGTGATAAAAATTATGTCAAATATATTATTTAGTGTGAATCTGATATTTGTGTTAAGAAATGATTATGCTTTTAAAGTGCTTCATTTTGTTGTTTCAGGGAAGGAGATAACAGCAGAAACTTTTATGGAGAAGTTGGATAATGGTGCCTTGCTCTGTCAACTTGCAGAAACTGTGCAGGAGAAATTTAAAGAGAGCATGGATGCTAACAAGCCTGCAAAGGTAAAAAAGATCCCAGGGCACAAATCACTGTTAGGTAGTAGGTTACATTTGTATAACTAGTTACTTAAGAATTTAGTGTAATTTGAGAACTTATTGTTAATGGATGTATCAAGGTCTATACCAACAACAAAGTGCAGAAGATGCTTTTTAATTACGTAACATACTATTTGCACTCTACATAATTTACACAATCCTTTGTTAAGTCTAATTAAATAATATGATTTCTGGAAAATGATGGTGTTAAAAGAGTACCATGTATAAACTGGCTCAATCTGAAGTATTGATTAAAACTTAACAGACAAATAATTGTGTCATCAGGCAATGAAAAAAATCTAGCCAAGAAGGATTTACTGAATAGGTCTTTGTTTTCAAAAATATTATGGCAGAATATTAGAACAATATATCTGGAGTGTAATATTTTTGTTTGTTTTAAATAAGTAGTAGCATTGAATTAATTAACGTTGGACAAATTATTTTATTGCTGACTCCTCAGATTTCTTTTCTGTTCATTAGTTCTAATATGCTTTCTAGTTATTATAAACATCTGATAGAAGTATGATGTTTGGTATTTTTAGAAGAAAACAAAATAGATGATACTTTAAAAATATTATTTTAATGTAATTTTAACTCCTATTTTCAACATTTATGAAGTTCCAGATAATATGTAATTGGGCAGAAAAACTCTTTTATTACATCTTTACCCACCATAATTTGACAATCAATCATGACTATTAACACCCTTAAAAAACCACTTACAAGAAGCAATTATTTTGGGAAAACATTTGGAAAATTTGTTACTAGTTGTCAACATTTTCAAGACTTAAGTATGTATACGAAGTATTTATAATGTAATGGTTGGGGATATTTTCAGTTAAATTCATATATTAAAATATATATTTCTACCTTCTAAAAAAAGAAAATGAAAAGAAGTAAAAAATATGGTTAAAATGATTTTGAAGACAGCTTAAAGTAAAAAGCAACTGTTAAACTATTTCTGTAACTCTGACACAAAAGACTAAAAGTGACAAGTTTGTGTGTATCAGCACTGTACTTGGTTTTGGGATACTTTATATCATTCTGTAAAGTATTGGTCATGCTGGAAACTCAGACTTGTGGGGGGAGGGGAGGAAAGGGCATTTATTGAAACCTTAAAATTTGTACCCCCATAATATGCCAAAACAAAAAAAATATACAAATCCTCACCCATACTTTTTTAATCTTAAAAGCAATTCTGTGAAGGTATTAATTCAGTGTCTCTGAAACTTTGCTGCACATCAGAATTAACTTGAGCATCATTAAAAAGAAAATAGTAAGACCTAGATCCTATACCTGAACATTCTGGTTTAATCCACATTGGATGAAACCTAGTCAATGGAATTTTTAAAAAGCTCTCCAGGTGATTTTAATGTGCGACAAACTTTGGTAACTACTAGGTTCTTTTTTGTTTCTCTGTTGGTGGATGAAGACTCTTAAGTAATTTGTGCAAGACTGCCTGGATATTAAAGGACCAAGCAAGAATGTGACAGATACTGTCTTTCAAAGTCTAGTGCTCTCTCATTTTGGTTCACCATGGGTAGCACAGACATGAAGAGACTGATTATGAAAATGTTCCATGTCAAGCTTAAAGTTAGGATGCCAATTATTCTTCTGTGGTTTTCATTGTAATGTAACTGACCACCTCTTCAGCTTCCTGGTGAGAAAACTTAATGCCTAATAGGAGGATAATTTGTATAGACAGTTTACTGTAAAGCAATTAACAGAAGGAAAAAAAGTGTTGTGCCCATATTCTGTTGAGAGAGCATTTCCTTCACATTGCATCGGTCCTGAATGCCTCAATTAAGATCAGTTGAATCCTTCATAGTAACAAAGACTAAACTCTATTAAAGCTATTGTACAATTTTCTGGTTTTGCTTTGTTATGTAAGCCTTTGCTTTTTTTTTTTTTGGAGAAGGTCTTGCTCTATTGCCCAGGCTAGACTACAGTGGCATCATCGTGGCTCACTGCAACCTCAAATTCCTGGGCTCAAGTGATCCTCCTGCCTCAGCCTCCCAAAGTACTAGGATTACAGGTGTGAGCCAGCATGCCTGGCCAAGACTTTCCTTTTTAAAACAGAAGCAAAAATTCCCAAATATAATTGTCATTATAAGGCTATCAAGTAAGTGTCAGACAGCCCCAAAGTGTTAGTTCATAATTCAAAGACTTTGACATTGCACACATTTTGCTTAGGTTCTAGTTTTGTTATTTATTTATTTATTTATTTATTTATTTATTTATTTATTTATGAATGAATGAATGAATAGATGAGACAGAGTCTTGCTCTGTCACCCTGGCTAGAGTGCACTGGCATCATCATAGCTCACTGTAACCTCAAACTCCTGGGCTCAAACGATCTTCCTGCCTCCCTAGTAGCTGGGACTATTAGGCACACACCACCACTTCCAATTAATTTGTTTCTATTTTTTGTTATTTATTAAGTGGACATGTCTGAGCATTAGTTTTTTTATCTGTAAAATAGGATTAGTAATCATGTATATATACTTTCCATAGATCGTTGCACAAAAAGCTCTTGATAAACATTCTCTTTTGCCTATGTGACAATTAAGAGACCCTGATGAGAATTTTTATTAACTAGAAGAAAATACTTTGCAAATGCTTGTATTTAGCATGATAGCTGCTATTTGCAAATATGTATAAATTTACTCCAAATCTCTATGAAAATATATAATATAGAGAACATTTATGAGTCAGGATTTTTACAGCTATTTACCTTTTATACATTTATTTTAATATTATATAATTTTTATAATAAAAATATAAAACATAAAAGAAACGAAGAGAGTTTTCCCTTCAAAGTTAGTAGAACTGCAGCAAGATTTTATTAAACTCAAAATACTTCCTTGACCCTGAGCAATTTTGTTTAATTGAATATAAAGCTAAAACTTATTCTGATTATGATAAATATATTTTAATGTGAAAACTTAACTTTGTTAAAAAACAACTATAAGTTTAAAAATATCCACTATGACTTCACTTTCCATGCTCAAAAAATCAAATTTGATCTGAGTTAGAAGCTGACACGATTGCTCTTGACTGAATTGCCTTCTGGGTCCTTGGCAGCATTTATATTTTCACAACTAATTGCCAACAATATGCAACTTAAATTAATAATAGCATATGCCTTACTATATAAAAAATGTAAAGATGGCTAGCATTTTTACTTTTTATGAGAACTTCTTTAAATAAAAATCCAAATGATCAGTGTCTTCCTAGGTATTATTATTCATCAATATACTTTTGCCAAACTAATAGTTTTAAATCCATTTTTTTGTGTCTAAACAAAGATGATATAGAAGATTGTATAATATTCTGTTATTGTTAAATGTAAACTTAAACATTAATGGATTCACTAAAACCCAGGTATTTAGGATTATGGTGAATATTTCACATAGGGAAAAAAAAGGTTTTTAAATTGGGTATAAATAACCTGAATAACCTGGAGGTTACAATATTATCTGCTTTTGTGGGTGTGTATGTGTGTGCATGCCAGGGTGTATGTGTACAGAACTATTTTCCGCATTGGCAAAGTTTAGGGCAATGGTAGTGAAGAAAGATGAGTTCATGAATACCCTCTATGAATTAGTGAAACTTTTATGGATAGGGAGATGTTGAAGCAGAATTACTTTTAAAATGTCAACAACAAAACTTGATCCCAACCAAAGCTGTCACAGGAAGCCCTTTGTAATTATTTTTTTACCAGCTTAAATCTCATATCTTCATTTTTATAGAAATATTTTTATTTTTCCTGATGAATAGTTAATTTGGGGGATTTTACAGCTGTGTAAACATATTTGAGTGTATAAGTTATGCCTGGTATGTGTGAAGTATGTCTGTATTAAGAATGATTTAAGTACTCTTACTATTTGAAAGTAAATTTTAATAAATGTTAGACAGTTTACATATTTGATATTTTATGTATAAATCCATGACTCTTTTATATCCTGCTCTAGTTTGATAAAGCACTCTGAATAGAAATAAATTCTGTCCTATGATTCTTTCCAGGCTTCAATAGATCAATGTAAAAATAGCCTCTCTATGTATGTGAGCTCTAAGCAGTTAATCTTAGTCTTTGCATGGTGAGACATTTTCTCACTTAGCATGGGAACAATGCAGAGACTTCACAGAGTTAGGCAGTAGTTGGATAGAAGCATTTGAGACCAGTATGCATAAGTTTAATGTATAATTTGATTTAATTAGTTTGTATATATTAATATCATAATATGATAAATTTACCATAGCTATAAATCTTAATATTCTTGGAACCGAGGACCTTTAAAGGCAAAATTCTAAATGAAACTAATCTTTCTGATACTCTATTAGGATGAGGAAGCCGAAACAAATGACAAGTCTATGGTTAGATTTTATGCCTATTAGTTTCCTGACTCAAAGTTGGCATCTCTAATCAATATAGGATAATTGTTAGGTTTATGCATGAACTTTCACCTCCTGGTCCAAACAGTGTGCCACTGTACAAACTCCTTATTGTATATTTACTCTGTTTTTATTTTCAACCAATCACAACTTTTCTATTTATGTACAAGACTGTCTCAACCACAGGGCATCAACATGGGCATGATATTCAAAGAGTTTAACCTCTTTCTCTGCTAACATTCCTTTTCATTTGTCTCATTTATTTTGAGAGTCTCTGCCTCAGACATCAGAGTTCCTCTGGGTTCAGAGCTTCCTTTGACTTCAAAGAGCCCTGGGTGGTTAGATCAAGTTTGAAGCAGATGAAGCAAAAAGACAGAGAGAGGGAAAAAAAAGTAGTTCTGTCTCCCAGTAGAATGCTACATTATGCTCCAAGGAAGGAACTGAACATTAACCATCTAGATGTAGAATCCGGTGCTTGTTCAGGGGAAAGAACATCCTACTCAGATAGAATGCCTACAATACATTTGCCCATCAAGAATACCTAGTTCCCTGAGCTGCAAGATAATAATACT